TACAAATCTCTATAAATTTGGGTAAAAAATTGCTCCGCGTATCTCGCATAAGAAAAATTGCTGTGACCAGCATTTTGGCGAGAGTCTTTGCATATTTACCTTCTGTCATTTCCCAGATTCTGGACTTTATCTATTGACCGATTTTTATTTTGATATATTTTGAATTGCGTGACACTGAAAACCAGCAATAGCCTCCATTTGGCGCGAAATTATGCTCGTCTATTTGTCCTTGGACATAACAACAGGGAACGGTTAAACGAATATTGGAGAGGCTATTATGCCAAGAACAAGGAACAGATCAAACAAAGACTTCGTGGAAAAAAAACAAACAAACAAGGGGGACAGTAAAATGCTGACCAAAAATGATGACGTCACATGAAAACAGGCAATTGCCGCGAGAGAAAAAAACTGACGCCATCAGACGACGCGAGAGGAACAGGAGATGGGAGTATCCCCCTCTGCTGACACGCGACCAGCAAAAGGAAGAGGGTATCCTCCTCCACGGAAGTCATTGGTTCGTCACGTGAGCTTGCTGCCCGCCCAAAAATTAGAGCCTGCTTGCTTACGTTGCGCCGGCTTTTATCAAATGTTTTATTGGCGGCCATTTTGACTTAATTGAAACCCAGTACTTACGGATTCAACCGGGATGTCCACGTCACGGGGAGTCCCAAAAGTTACGCGTACACCACCAAGAAAAGTAAAGTTTGCTGTTGTGTAAAACGCACACACTGAACTTTATTTTAATCTTTTGGGCGCCAGTCACTAGGACTCGGCACACGTCCCAATAGTAAATTTTTAGAGTTGATTTTTCTGTAGTGGCGTGATTTTTATTAGCGTGTTAGCGAGCGAGAGTAAAAAGCTGACGCGAGATGAACACAGGCACGTGCGAGTGAGTAAATGGTGGCGCGAGCGTGACCCGAATCCTGRAATCTGATTTGCTAGTTTTTCATTGCAAAGGAAGTCACTGCACGCGTTTTTATAAACAAGCTGGCGCGAGCGAGAGTAAAACTAATCGATTTTTTGGTCAAATTAATTGATATTTTAAGCTTTCGCCATCTTGGTTATCACGTGGTTACAAATCCGGCCTTCTGATTGGTCCATTCAACCTGACCTGCAATCTAATTGGCTAGCTTTTCACTGCGAAGAAAGTCGCTGCACGCGATTTATAAATAAGCTGACGCGAGCGAAAGTAAAGGTTGACCCAAGCAACGGTAAAGGCTGAAGCGAGCGAGTACAGTCGCGTAGGGCGTTTGCCCACCCAAAAATTAGTGCTCGCTTTGCTCATATCATTTATTGGTTCACTTGCACCCAATCCAGTCTTCTGATTGGTTGCAGATTTTGACCGGGACTTTTCCCTAAAAGGAGACTAGGGCCGAATCTTCAGTTCCACCATCTTTGATGAAATCCGGATTGGTCAAGAGTGGTCACGTGGGCTAAATCCGGCCTTCCGATTGGTCCAAATG